TGCGCGCAGGGGGACTGGGGCTGTGGTGCTTTGGTGGAGACGGCAGTGGCAGTGACTGAGGGGCTGGATGGTGGTTGAGGAGATGAGGGGCTGCGCGCAGGGGGACTGGGCTGTGGTGCTTTGGTGGTGGCGGTGACGGCAGTGACTGAGGAGGGGGAGGGCTGGCCGGTGGCTGCAGCAGGGAGAATCTCCCGCTTAGACTCGCCGCTCACCCGCTCTGAGAGCCTCAGCCAGCAGCTCTCCCGGCCTCCCTTGCGCGACCCCGATCAGCGCTCGCTCCCCGGCCAAACCTTCCCCGCCTCTGGGTTCCCTGATTGGTGCAAATGCGTGGTGGGCGAGGCGCTTGGAGTCCTCTCCGCCTTCCCTTCCAGTGATTGGAGGACTCCCATGTCAGTCAAGGCCCAGGTCAGTGGGCGGGAGTGGCTATGTGACAGTGGCGCTGCAGCGCGGCGGAGGAGGTGTTGTCACGTAAACTGCGCATTGTTTTGGGCGTAAGTGAGATTAGTGGATTGAGCTGGTTACGTAGCGCTCCTGAGAGAGGAGCCGGCCAGCGCTCAGAGGAGCAGGCCGCCGCCGCCGCCGCCATGGAGGCGAAGCCCAGCGAGCTGGTGCTCTGCGACAGCCTCATGCTCTGGGTGAGTACGCGCTGGGCGGGGCGGCCTGACCCCTCTTGGGGCGGGCGGGGGCTCTGTCCTGTCAGCACGCTGCCCGCTATCCTGTATAAGCGATCCCCGTAACCTCCCCCTGCGCCCCGCATAACGCCCCTTGTTACAGTCACCAGCCTGTGCACCTGCCCCCTGTGTTCATCCCCGTGTCCGGTTAACACCGCACCCCAGTTAGTGCCGCGGGACCGCGGTCCCCGCGCTGTAGCATTGCCCCTCGCCCGTGGGCTCCTATCTTGTATAATGCCCCCCCCCCGCCCGCTATAATTTCCGTGCCCGTCGCTGTGGCGTTCGCTACATTAGCAGCGTGGCTTGTCTCTGTCACGAGTGGGTCTTGTCCCCTCTCCTCTCCTCAGGGGGTTTGCAGGAGGGTGTCTTTTTAAACTGCCCCCTTTATTATATCTCTCCCTCCTATGCAATGCCCCCTTCCCCTCACGCCCCGTGTAATATCCTCTCAGCTTACATAGCCTACACACCCTATATAGTGCATCCACGCCGCCTACACAAACAACCGGTTGAATTCTTGCTTATGACGGTGTGTTTTTTTTGTAATGTGACAGAAGCTGGGAATACCTGGACAGAGCTAGTTCTGGTTTAGTCTTTAGATCTGAGGCAAACCCCCAGACCTGGTTAGTGTCGCCATCATCATTCAATATTGTGTTAGTTTCACACTGCGATTTTAAATCCACAAAGAGTAAGATTGTCCTTTACCAGCATTCTGGAAGCATTAAACTCTTCTCTCATGCTTTAACCTGCTTTGAGGTTTGGTTTTAACTCCAGACTCTCTTGATCTGTGGCATCCAGAATCTTGTATTTGCTCTTTATTTTATTTTTTTTGAGCGGAGGGGGTTCCTTTCCACCTCTTACAACCGCAGACCACAGTCCAGCTTATGAGGGTGTGATCAAAGAGGCTGACCCCTGCTCCAGGTGTCTCTGTCACAAGGAGAATGACACCTTCATTCTCAGGTTCACTTTAAAGCAATCTCTCGCCCTCTGATGAAAGGCTATGCAGTTCCGTGTTTGACTAAACATTTATAACTATAGCTGCTTCTAAAATAAAGTCCCACAGGAGGAAGTTTTGTGTTTAAAAAATGGAGATTGTAAATATACCTCTTAAACATATAAACATTTTGCACCCCAGATGAGGAGAGACACTGTTTAAAATTAATTCTCCTTCTCTCTCTTTAATCTACTCCTCTCTTTTAAGTTTCTCTCCACAGCTGAGTGTGACTTGTGTCAAGTCTGCCCCATCATTTAAGTTGTCAGAGATCTGCAACAATCTTGTCTAAAATGCCAATGGTTTTGTGTGTGCCATTAAAAAACAAACAACAAAAAAATCTCTTTGGTCACTGTCTTGAAATAATACCTGTGCAGAGTCATGTTAATTTAAAAAAAATAGTAATTTATACTTTATAATGTGTGTGTGAGAGAGATAATATTTTTAATTTTCTCTAACTATTCAGTGGAAAGAAATAGGAATCAGACTTGATATGTTCTTTTACCGGCTTCTTGATTATGGTAAAAGACTGCAGACCTCTGAATTATGCATCAGTAAGAATCATGGTTTACAGGAGTGTTTTTGTGCCCTTTTAATATGCAAAGGGAAAATACTGCTAATGCTTACACCTCTGACCTAATAACCAAGGCTGTAAGAGATTGGGAAGGGAAATCTCAGAATCATAGACTTGTAGGACTGGAAGGGACCTTGAGAGGTCATCTACTCCAGTCCTGTTCACCGATGGCAGGACTAAGTATTATCTAGACCATCCCTGACAGGTGTTTGTCTAACCTGCTCTTAAAAATCTCCAATGATGGAGATTCCACAAACTCCCTAAGCAATTTATTCCAGTGCTTAACCACCCTGACAGGAAGTTTTTTCTAATGTACAATCTAAACTGCGCTTGCTGTAATTTAAGCCCATTGCTTCTTGTCCTATCCTCAGAGGTTAAGGAGAACAATTTTTCTCCCTTTTCCTTGTAACAAACAACCTTTTATGTACTTGAAAACTGTTATGTCCCTTCTCAGTTTTCTCTTCTCCAGACTAAACAAACCCAATTTTTTCAGTCTTCCCTCATAGGTCATATTTTCTAGACCTTTAATCATTTTTGTTGCTCTTCTCTGGACTTTCTCCAATTTGTCCACATCTTTCCTGAAATGTGGCACCCAGAATTGGACATAATACTCCAGTTGAGGCCTAATCAGCATGGAGTAGAGCGGAAGAATTACGTCTCATGTCTTGTTTACAACACTCCTGCTAATACATCCGAGAATGATGTTTGCTTTTTTTGCGACAGTGTTACACTGTTGGCTCTCATTTAGCTTGTGATCCGCGATGGCCCCAAGATCCCTTTCTGCAGTACACCTTCCTAGGCAGTCATTTCCGATTTTGTATGTGTGCAACTGAGTGTTCCTTCCTAAGTGGAGTACTTTGCATTTGTCCTTGTTGAATATCATCCTATTTACTTCAAACCATTTCTCCAGTTTGTCCAGATCATTTTGAATTTTAATCCTACCCTCTAAAGCACTTGCAACCCCTCCCAGCTTGGTATTGTCTGCAAACTTTATATGTGTACTCTCTAGACCATTATCTAAATCATTGATAAAAATATTGAACAGAACCAGACCCAGAATTGATCCCTGCAGAACCCCATGCGTTATGCCCTTCCAGGTTGACTGTTAATCATTGAGAACTACCAGTTTTCCAACCAGTTATGCACTCACCTTATAGTTGCTCCATCTGGGTTGTATTTCCTTAATTTATTTATGAGAAAGTCATAGGAGACGGTATAAAAAGCCTTACTAAAGTAAAGATATACTACATCTATCACTCCCCCCCCAATCCACATGGCTTGTTATGCTTGTTCCTGGATCAGGAAGCAAATTAACTGGAACTGAAATTTTTTATAGGTAGAAAAATTGCTATTATGTTATAATTTGCATAAGAACCAAGTGACATTTCTTATTGCAACAATGACTTGTTGGTTACAACAGTGGTTTTGGAGCAGTGGGCAGGTTTGACCATTCTCAATGCCAATATCCTGTGAGTCTGATCATTATTTTTTCAGCATTAGCTTTGGTTTGGAAGCCTGTTAAATTATTAACAAAAAACAATAAAAGGAAACTTACACCCAATTAACACTTAAAGTGCAGACTTCAATTGACAAAAGCAAAAATGTCAGATCTTAAAACATTTAGTACAGTGATTCTCAAACTCTTCAAAATGTGCAGGGTTGCATGTGCGACAAACAATTTGATTAATCGAAATTGAACATTCCCCTTCAGTTTTGCTCATATTTTGGCTGATTTCTTATCTCTGTAGTTCAGGACTTGCAGGTTCAAAGTGGCTTTGTCAAAAGATTTTTGGTGGAACTGTATTGTACCAAATACTGAGAGTCTTGCAGTAGGAATTATATAAAGCCAGTGTTAGGTTATACCAGGGCTATCTGGTCCAGAATGTTTCTCTGGAAATACTAGCCAGTTGGTGGGTGCCAAATGGGAATGGGGGAGGGGAATTAATCACTCTTTAGAAGTAATTTAGAAATGCAGGGATAAAAAAATAACCAAGATAGAGATGGTTTAGCAGTACTTATAGGAAGGGGAACCCCATTTTTTACTCCTCCAACAAATTCAAACTGTGTGCATGCATATACGTAGTAAAGTATTTGTAAATATATAGGTATGTTTTATTACCGGGTCATGGAATTCAGAGTCTTATATAATAGTTTAAAAATAACTTGATGCTTTTTTCTTCACTCCATTTTTTTCTGCTAGCACCCGCATAGTGTTTTACATGTTCAACATGTTGTACAAAAATTAAATTCTGTATCTCTTCTCAGTCTCCCTTTCCTTCATCTTAGCATAGTTTTAGGGTTTTTTAATTTTTTCCATTAATATACAAATAAAAATAGCCTATCCTAAGGCTCGCCATAGCATAGGTAAGAACAACTTGAGCATATATCCAAATTCCAGAATTTTTTCTTAGTGCTGAAATGGGTGTGTCTAACTTATTTTTATTAGTGCTGCTTTAGACATTATGGGCCTAACTCTCATTTATACCTTGGCTGTTTATACAGATCTAATCATGGAAAGGGATCATAAAGTGAGTGTAATTATAACTTGTTTCCACATAAAGGTCCCTTTAAACTGTTAGAGCAATGTAAAGGGGCCTTAGTGAAAATGAGAATCAGGCCCTGTATGTTCAGATTGTTTGTGTGTTGCTATTGCAGTGTGTATGTATTGCCATATGTGTGGTGTTGTTTGTTATATTTGTTTTGTTTTTCTGGTCTAACATCTTATTTCACTGATGTAACTCATAACTTTAATTTTCCATAACTATGTCTAATATATAATTCTCTTCCAAAATAGCAGTGGGGTGGGGAGAAGATGCTTTGTATTGAAAGGAATAGTTAAAGACCTGTGAGCTATAATTATCTATAATATTAAGTGGTTTCAATTATTCTGGGTAGTCATGAGAGAGAAGCTCAAGTGGTTTGTATTATCATTAGTATTGCAAAGGGATGTTCACCTTATGCATAATCTTCCTTTTGGTTATGCATTTTTATTGATGCAATCCCTGTAGCATAAATACATATCCTCCATTGGGGGAGGGGAAAATGTGAATTACAAGTGTTAACTAATATTTGTACATATTGGATGCCTTTTTAATATTTCAAAGCATCACAGAATTAGTATGTTCTTCAGTCTGCTGTGTCACGGAATACTGTATTTTCAAATATTAAAAAGTTAGCTTACTCAAATTAACAAAAATATATTTATAAGTGCCCAGGAGAAACTGAACTTCTGTTGTCTAACACTATTACTTCCACAGTAGTCGTCAAACTTAGATTTTCTGAATTGTCCCCTCAGAAAGAGAGCCTTTATTCCCTTCATATTAGGGAAACCACAATACTTTCCATTGAGATGAGAATGGAAATAATACCTGCAGCAACAGTCAGGGGGAAGCTATCTTTAGA